TGCTTAATATTATGAACACCCTACCTCTACTGCAAACTGAGGAATTCCATTATGACTTTTCCAACATTGTTGTCAGCATTAACTTTTGATATTAGGAAAACTAGTTAAATAACTCCTAATAAAATCATTCAATAATTAAATAAATAACAAGAGAATAACTAAAAATAATAAGCATCATTTAAATCACCTGTTACATCCACTCTGGTTTTCTATCATTTAACTTCAGATATTTTTAGGTTAATTCATGGAAAGGGATTCCTATTTATTGATATGCCTACCTAGTACTAGACATCTTACATATACTGTTGTATCTTTTCACCACAACCAGCTTAAATCTAAAAATCCTTTTGCTCAGCCCTGACCAGTGTAGCTCAGTTAGTTGGATGTCCTCCTGCAAAGGGAAAGGTCACCAGTTGGGTTCCGGGTCAAGGCTCATGCCTTAGGTTGCTTTTCATAGGAGAGGCAACTGATAGATGTTTCCCTCTCACACTGATGTTTCTCTCCCTCTCTTCCTCCCTCCTGTCTCCTCTCTCTAAATAAATAAATAAATACTCTCTTGCTCATTTTTAAATTCAGGTGCACAAGGGTTTCATATTTTGTCTTCAATACACAATTAGTACTCATAAAACAGGGATTCAAATCCAGTTCGTCTAATACCAAAACCTTTATCTTTGCCACCATAGTTTGCTGTCATGGAGAAGAAGGTATAGAAGCTAGTTTCAAGTACACCAATGTCCTGTTCCCAGTCAACCACTGATCAAAGAAACTGTACAAAAAATAAAAACTAGTATCGGGCACGCCCATAGCATGATCTTGCCTTCATCACTGACTTGTCCTGTGCTTGGGCCCAACACGGGGCTGGGGAAAATTAGCAGGGACCTGCCTATGGAGCTTTTTCCTAGCGGAGGGTCCTGGAGAGAAAACTGGACTAGGAAACACACTCTATCTGGGAAGCCAGAGGCAAAAAAGCCAGAGAAAGCATTCAACCTGAGCCAATATCATAACTAAAAAATGAGCCTACGTGGTAGGTCCAAAAGGCAAACTAAGCCACGCATGGAAAAACGAGGACTACCTAAATCATCCAAGACAGCTGGGTATAGGCTGCCATGAAGTGTGCAGAGTGGGTGGGCACAAGGGCTTCAGAAGGCTGTGTGTGAAAGGGGAGAGGATGTCGGGTGTCCTATGTACATGGTATTAGCCGTGAAAGTGGACCCGGCACATGAAAGGCCACAGAAGAATCAGCCACTTGAATAGTTATTGATTCTCTCTAGGCCACAGCTAAAACTATCGGGCCTAGAGAAGCAGGGTTTTGTTTCATCTTTTTTCTTAGCTATTATTACGTTGTAGTTGTGAGTATTATGGAAGGGATCATTTTTGACAGTGAAGTTTGTATATTTACGTACCTGAAACAACTCTGAAAAAAATCTCAGTGCAAAATTAAGACTGAGTAGAGTACAAAGTTTAAAATTGGAACCCTTTAACAAAATAAGGACTATCAAAGAAGACCATAAGTTAGCATGAAGTTATTCCCAGGTCTCTAGACAATCTGTACCACAGGTGGCAAACACAAGGCCTGTGGCCGAACCCTGCCCTCCACCGTGTTTTATCTGGCCCAGCGCCTTGCTTCTACGCAGCAGCAGCACCAAGCTCCTTGCCCCTAGTTGAGGAGTAGTCACAATCATACAGTCCTAAAGTCACATTTGGCCCTTTGAAGGCAACCGCGTGCCTGTTGTGGCCCCCGGTGAAAATGAGTTTGATACCCCTGCTGTAGGTGCAAACAATTTTCTGATCTCCTGTCCCTTCAAAAAGGTACAGGTCACTTCATGCCCATAGCTGTCCAAATGGCTGTTTGGATAGGTTTGACCACCAAGGAGCACGGAATGGAGCCTTTGAGAAAGAAAACAAGTAAGGTTGTCAGGATTTTGAGGAGTCTTAAGAAAAACAACAGAAATCCATCTGTATTAAGATTGAATATCTCAATAGTTTTTTTTCTTAGCATTTGCATTGAAGCTTTTGCATCCCTCCCCCCCAAAATCTGGATTTGTAGATGTTTAAGAGACTCCAAATTTTCATTTTCCATTTAATAAATTGATTTTCTTCCCCACTATAGATACTTGGAATTAGCTCAGACCTCAGGATAACAACAATTCCAAAGGGGAATGCTCAGTTCATTATGAATGGTTTAACAGCAAATAGTGCTTGGACAGCCAAATTCCTGGTCTCCAAATTTATAAATTTGCCTTTTTTCCCCCCTCACAAGTCTTACTCAAGACCACTTCTGAGCTTTTGCACATTTAACCCTTACACTTAAAGACAGTGTGTTACCAAAGAGCCTGAGAAGCATTAAGTTCATACAATTGTACTAAGAGAAGTCTGATATTTATAACCAAACTATGACCATATTGAATATAATAAATTAACTGCTGAACTAAGTGAAGAAATAAATACTGTACTTATTTTCATGTCTGTGTCTATGCATCCTTCAAACAGGTCTAAAGAATCATAAACCAGCTATAAAGCCTGTGATGCTTTTTATTTTATTTCTTCACCTAATGATGCAGCACTCATTTCTCAATAGAAAAATTATAAGTAATACTAGAAACTAAATAGTTGTTTTTAGCAGTCAAAAATAATTATACTGTCTTTAATTGATCTATATATTCCATGTTATTTTTTTCAAACTTTCATTATAATAATAAAGCTACACTACACTATGATGTGGTTTCACGTATTACTTCATTTAATTCTCTATAAAAACCCAAGGAATAGCTACTATTAGTATGCCAACATTGTGCATAAGGCAACAAACTCAGAGAAAACAGCCTGTGATCGCAAAGGTAGTAATCTGTAGGGCTAGTATTCAAAATAGATACTTTGGGCTTCAGCAGACACAGGGGTATAATAACATCAGGGATATGCTTGCTTAACAATTTTTAAATAACTAAATCAGTCCACACATCAATAAGCTAATTTTTTTTATTTTCTTAAGTATCAGGTCTGAAATATGTCTTCTTCCTCAGGTTTTTTTATGTTTGTTTGTTTTACTTGTTGACGTGTATAAATTGACATAACCAAAAAGTTCAGTGACCAAATTCCGGTAAGAAAATATGTTGCCTAATTCACGCACCTCTCTGTATTTAGAGGAGAGTGACTTGATTTTACAATAGGGTAAATAATAGAGAAAGAATAGGGTATTGTTTCTCTCAATTAATTGTAGTTCTGTCACATGTTTGCATATGATTTCTACATGGAAGCGGTTTACAAATTAAGTTTTATGGGTATGTAGAAAGAATAATTCAAATCAATAAACTTTTACAAGTGTTGAAGAGAAAGCTTACATTTAAATGTTACTTTGTTTCTTCGTCCTGAGAGAATGAACTTTTTTTCAAAAACAGTTAAAATCAAGCATTAGATATGCAAATATGTGTTCAGATCAGAGATACCAAAATTATTCAAATGATTAATTATTCATCATAAAATGCCAATTAATAATTATGAAGCATAAAAGGCATCTTTTAAATGCAACTTTATTTTTCTTGGCCTGAAAAGGGCTTCATATACATGTTCAACTGATTTCTAGTAAATTGTAAAAATTCAACAAAATAAACAAATTGTAAACAAGTGCAAACTCTGAATTTTAAGAAGAGGACAAATGTGCCCCAAATGAATGAAAGACAAACGAAAGACAAAACAAAAAATGTAGCCAAATTAATGACATAGGCAGCCTGTGCTCACTAACTTGCTAGGTAACGAGGCAACCTGGCCACAGGAACAGCGGAACACCTCAAGTTGTGTGTCTGCTTAGCGTGGACAGAATGCGTGACATGGTGTTTCGCTCTGAGTAGGCTGATCTCTGTTAGGGGTGGGGACGTGCTTTGGGAAATGTTTTACACTTCCAGACAGTCATTAAAGGAAAAAACACATTTTAAGTTCCTTTAAAGTAACTACTGTAATCTCTAAAGTCTGTTAAACACTGCTAAAATATCACTGTTAATGAGAAATTTTCTCACATTGCCTTGATTCTTAAAATTTTCTCTATTCGAAGTATTACTCATTTTTAGGAAGACTATTTTTTTAAAAGTCCGTTTGAGCTAATATGATAATTCAGAATAAAAAGCAATTATGATTACTGAGATACTGATTTATACATTTATTATTATTATTATTACTATTTTACTTTTCACTGACACCTGGTGAACTTGTTCTCTGATGACCCAGGGAGTTATTTTAGTCAGGGTGTCCCTGACCTCCTGCTGGTAGATTAATTACATATTTAACATTGTGTTTTCGAAACGAGATGATAAACGTGGACACATAAAGGAGGGAGAAGAAGAGAGCGAGGAAGAAGAGAGTCTGTTAAGAAACACGAGAGATTGCAAAAGGGAGAGATCAAATAGAAAGAAAAGAGAATGAAGGAAATGCAATTGGGAAAGAATTTAAAGAAAATCGGGACAAGGGGCAGGAAGGGCTGAGAGGGAAAGCCAGAGGGAGGTAGGGAAGAAAGGATTTTTGGTTTTCAATTCCCTGGCGAGGCCGCTGGCGTCCGCGCCCTACACGCCACAGCCTTCCAACTGGAGGCGAAAGCCACCTCCTCGGGCCTGCGTCGCATCCAACTCAGTCCAAGTTTTCTGGTGACTCCTACGGGGCCCCTTCCCGTCACCACCATTCCCCCCCACGACACCCCTCCTCCGTTTAGGGAGACTGACAGTCGCGTGGAGGAGGCTTTTCCAGGCACAGCCTTTCTCATGGTAATCAGCCCCCTGCATCACCTCCCCGGCGTGGCGCGGCCGCTCCCGCAACGAGCGCAGCGCGCGGACCCCGGGACCGGAAACGGGGCGGCGGGCGGGGAGCTGGCGAGGCGGCCGGGTCAGCTGACCGGGCGGCGGGGCGGGGGTCGCGGGGCTCCCGGGCGGGGACGGGGCCGGCGGGCGAGCGGGCGGGGGCGACCCCTTCCCCCCGCCGCCCCCACGCGCCCCCCCGCCCGCGCGGCGGGGCCTTACCCAGAGACCAAATGGAGGGACCGGAGCTGGGGGCGCGGGGGACTGAGCGCGCCGAGAATTGGGGGCCACAGGCAGACCTGTTTTGCGTCAATAAATTAAGACGCGTATGTGAGTCTCGAAGTTTGCTGGTTCCTGTCAGTGGAGGAGACGTTGGCTGGCAAAAGCACTGAAGCCGAGATTCAGCCTGAACTTGAAAAAATTAAAATCAAATCAAATCAAATTAAATTAAATGAACACTTCAGCTGGCCGCCCTGCCGGGGCCAGGTGACGTGCGAGATTCCACAGCCCGCGGGCCTCGCAGCAGGGATGTTAGGGACGGTCTGAGGTTGTCCGGTCCTGTTTTGATTTTGTTTGAAAGGGCTTCTCAGAGAGATGCTCCTGATCCCCCCCCCCCCCCCGCCCCATGCTAGGCTTAACTCCGAATGGATTGGATTGCGAGTTTGCACGTGAGAAAACCGTTTGGCTTGGCTTGGACCCCTGCCGCCCCCAACCCCCTCCACCACTCCCAATCCAGGGGACCCCTTATCACCCTTTGCTTGCAACTAAGAAGTTGCTCATCTCCTGCGTAACAACATAGGGTCAAAATAATTCCTCCAGATGAAAGATCAGTTCTGCTTCAAAACGAGAATAAATTCCTTTTTAAAAAATTTTCTCCACATTGTACAAAATAAACAGAATTTGCTTTAAAAAAAAATAGCCGTGGCCAAATTCTAGTTACTTCTACAGCCTGTGTGTTCAAGGGCAGAAACATTGTATCTTTTCGGGCATCTGGGCCCGGGAGCCGAGCTGGGGGCAAGGGTGAGTCGAGTAGCGGCTGTGAAAGTTTAGGAAATTGACAGACTGAGAGGTGAATGGGGGGACAGGCACCAGGTCCTGGCTAGAGGGAATAGGAAAACAAAAGTGCATCTTCTCATCCTGCCTGGGTGGAGGGAATCCTGAGGAGGCAGTTATTTTACTCAAAGAAATCCTAAAGAATTCTTTTTTTCTCCCTCCAATGTCGATTGCAATATTATTTCACATTTGCATATATCTGTTGTTTTAATCCCCTTGGTCTCTGCTAATCTCGGAACGGATTATTAATGGAAAAGAAAGACGAGGAAGAAGCTATTCATTTGCAGGACTTATTTTGCTCTGTAAGGAGAGGAAAGCTAGCAACCCCCCAGCCCTCTTTCGACTTTTCCCTGCGTCCGGCGCTCCTGCATCCCGCAGATTCCACTATCCCCATTGTCCCCACTGGCCTTCTGACTAAGGGAGTGTTCGGGACAAAAGTGTATTCCGGCTTTCTCCGATCCCACCGCCTCTGCGTTGGGGGGAATTCTGTAGGTCAAACAGGGAGGAAGGTGCCAGAGGCGTGCCAAGCAAGGGCGGGGGGAGGGGAGGGGAACCTGATGGAGTACCCACCCCTCGAGGGGATACTTCCTGCGCCATCATCCAAATACCCACCTTGATGGGAACCCCAGAGATTACTGTTTTACCCCTGGTTAAATACTTGCATGTTGGAACTCCCAGTGCTAAGTGTTGGGGCTGCCTGCTGCCACTTGAATAATTACTGAGCCCAGAGTAATCAAATGATTGGGTGTTTTTAGTGGAAATACTTGATTCTTTTTTTTGTAAGTCAGAGCCTAGGTAGCCTGACATTAATATACTGTACATAATAAAGACAAGTGATATGTTAGCCGTTCGATTGGATTCTCAGACCTGACGTTTTACTGTGGAGTGTGTGTGCCTGCGTGAGTCTCCAGTGGCTACCTGGGCTCCTGGGGTGGGGTGTGGTCCTGCCCTGAGCACGCCATGCCATGAGCTCCTGCTTCCCCCGGAACTGGAGAGGGAAAGCTGGAAAGCAAACTTCTAGAGAAAGCTGGATTCCAGTTCTTATTTTTAAAAAAGGGATGGGGTGGGAAGAGAAAGAAAAAAGATATTAATAATAGAGGCAAATCTCAGAACAGGGACTCGATAAGTCATACAAGTGTATATGGCATATATATACATATATGTAATATATATACATATAATTTTTAAATGTTAAACAAATTGAGTTTGTGCCTGACCCATGTTGGAAATCTTTCATTTCTTTTTTCTTATTAGTTTTTAGACTGATGAGCTTGACTGCTCCTCCTCTATAGGTGATTTATCTGTAATGGGGTGGGCAGAGGATTGATTTGCCCAGCTATTCTCATTGTAGTAAGTACTCAAGTTAGGAAAGTGGTGAGTCTGTAACCAACTGTGAGAACTGACTTTCTTGCATCCTAAAGTAAGAATTGGCTGTACTCATGCTGGTGGCTATTCCCCTCCTCCCCCAAAATAAACATACAAAATACAAAGACATGCACCTCTGGGAGTGTGGATGTGGCAACCCATGTGGTGGCTTTTTCCTCCTCTGAGTGCAATTGCCAAGTGACTCTTACATTCAAAGTCTTGCTTTAGGCACACATTCAAAGCACAGTTAGAGCAGTTTATCTTAATATAAGTAAAAGTCTAGTGTTGGTTCAGGGTATTATTTGTTTCAGATTTCATCAGACTGAAAACAGGGGGTGTAACATTTTAACAATATTAATATGTTACAAAAATGCAGGGAAATGGCATGAAGCTATTCTTTAGTCCTCTTGACACTTCTGCATTTACCTTTGCAAAGGAGCCCTAAGGTTGTGGGTCTGGACGTTTATTTGTGCTCTGAGGTTCGCAAGCACTTTCACTCTTAAAAAAAAAAAAAAAGCCTCACAATTCTTTAAGAAATTGAGCCTGAACCATTGGAGGCTAAGAGATTTCTTCCTTTTCCGATAAATGCCTGTGCTCAGCATCCTCAAATTTGGCTGTCTTTATTTACTTCTATATTAGTTCCAATTATGTGCAGTGTAAACCAGCTTTTTGATTAACAAAACAGCAGAGCATTGGTTAAGAACACTTAAACTTCAAAAAAAAAAATTCCCTTGGGAAGTGGGCTCTGAATTGGTTAATAATGTGCAGTACTTGCTAAATTGCTGACTTCCAGATGTGGAAAATATCTTTCTTGTTTAGGACCTATGTAACCTGATTGGATTACGACAGAAGCGTCACATTGGAAGCTTTTGAGTGATTATTTAATTAACCATACAGTAGAAAGCTGTATTCTCCAGGAAATCCCTTCCATATTTACATAACCAATCCCTTCAGAGCAAAGGTGGAGTCTTTTCTTTTTAATTTTACTTTAATTGCAATATCAAAAATATATATACTCCCAAACTTAGACCCCATGCTGTTTAATATCATGCTCTTCCTTCCCTGCTAAGTTCCTCTATGGCCTTTCTCCTTTTCCTCCTGCCTCACTCCACACACTCCCTCACTTTGTAGTAAGGTCTCCCTGAGATGTAGAGGGATTCAGACATGGTCAACTCAGCGCTCTCTGTTAATTTACTTAGAAACCCCATTTTAAAAATTCCAAACTACTTTTTTAGTTTGAGGATGTAATCCAGAAATTCATCACACACAACAACACACGCACCCTAAGATGCAGTTCCCAGGCAGCATCCCCCCCCCCCCCGCGTTCTGGCTTCTAAAAAGAAGAGAGAGAAAAAGGGCAGAGAATTTAGTTCCAGAAGCTGTGCTGAGAAATCCACACAACTTAATGTGCATCTCAAATCTGGTCATTAGAGATATCTGTATATGAAGAAGCAATCTGGGTTGAGGACCCGGGATCTTTCCCTTTAACTTTCGCCCCTTGGAGTTCTCCAGTTCTGTGAATGGTGTGCACCGTTTTCCGCCCAGTACGCTGTAGGATTTAGTGATGAGGATAATGATGCCAAAGGCTTGACTGGGGGAGGGGGGAGTAGGGTGGGGGGGGGCGTGGAGAAGGGAGGGAGGGAGGGAGGGAGGCGAGAGGGAGGGAGAGAGGAAGGGAGGGAGGTGGAATTTCATTTCTTCCACTAAAGCCTTTGCGGAGACTTCAAGGTATAATCTATCCCAGATCCTTTCCCAGAGAGAAACTTGGCGATCACGTTTTCACATGATGCTCACGCTCAGGGCGCTTCAATTATCCCTCCCCACAAAGATAGGTGGCGCGTGTTTCAGGGTCTCTCTCTCTCCTACAGAAAAGAAAAAGAAAAAAATGTCATTAGAAGAGGCGTAACACGTCAGTCCGTCCCCAGGTTGTGTTTCCTGGAGTGGCTAAAAGAGATCAGTTCTAACCTGCTCCGCAGGAATAACGGTCCTGCCTCCCGACACTCTTGGCGAGGTTTTTGTACAGTTTGCTCCGGAGGCTGTTTCTTCGCTTCCACCTTTTTTCTCCCCCACATTTCGCGGCTTCTTCATGCTTTTTCTTCTCACCATTTCTGGCCAAAACTACAAACAAGACTTCTCAGGTAGGTTTTTTTCCCCCCTTTTCTTTTTATTCCTTTTTGGTATGATTACCCCCCCCTTTTATTCTTTTTCTCTTTTCAAGTGAGAATGTGAGTCCGAAGTGGGAAGGAGTGTCTGTGGGTAGGAATTTCAGGTGGGTTTAGCTCCTTTATGGCAATCTTTTTCCAAGAGTGACTTCTTCGATTTCACTCCTGCTCACTCTCTTTCTCTGTCCCTCGATCTCTCTCTCTGCTTCCTTTTCTCCCTTTTTTTTTCCTCCCCCAAATAATTTGCCCTGTACCTGTCCATTCAGGTAACCCAAGGTGCCTTTTGCTACCCAATCTATGAAAAGTTTTCCTGAGAACTATATAATTGGAATAAAAACTCTCCAAGGGGAGGGATCCTGTTCTATTTTCGCATCTAGTTCCAATTCATTGTATTCAGCAATTACAACTTGGCAAATACCTGTTAATAATTACAAAACTTGATCGATACAAACCTACCCAATTCGGGGCAAGTCTTTCTCTTAGACATGGCAGTCCATCCTTCTCTCCCACCGGAGAAGGCTGTTTTCTAAGCAGAAAGTGTCTGTTTTTTGTCTGCTTAGCGAGTTTCATTTCTTTATTTCATTCTTTGTGTGTGTGTGTGTATGTGAAGTAACACCTCACTTCTGTGATGATAAATAAAGAAGTGAAAGTCCTCATGGAACTTGAGTCGTTTACTAAAGTTGGGGGGGGGTGCTGGGGGGTCACTACAGCTGGGATGAAAACTGCTGTCAGGATACCAGGGATTTAAATTAAGAATAACTTTTGAAATTGTATTTTAAATGGCATAGTAACATAGATGGATTTAACAGGAGCCACATACACACACTCATCCCATTCCATACTTTGGCACTAAAAAGTCAAGAGAGAGAGCAGGGGTTCCCAGGAACAGTGGTGAGCCCTGCTAACATGAATGTGTTTATATCTCCCACCTACATGTATATATTTTTTACATGCTCCCCCTATAATAAGGAAGGCACTATTACTAACTCCAGAGTTAAAAATAACAGGCAAAGATAAAGTTTACAGCATAAATGCCCTGTCTCTTCCTCACACACGTATGCTCATAAAACTAGCAGTTTACTTTATTAAACATGTATTTATATGCAATCGTGTGTAAGTCTCAGCAGGAACACAGACAGGCCAGCTGTTTCATCCCAGACACTTGTGTGACCATTTCTGTATTTCAGGATTTTTTCCCCAACAATTTCAAATTAATAGGAGAGCCAAGAAATGACAAAATGTGTCAAACTTCAATGAAAACTCTCCCCCTATGCCTATGTTAAATTCAAGGTGCTTTCTAAATAATTCACTTCCTCTTCTCTCTGCTCCCCTCACCCCCCACCCCTCTCAGCAAACGTGTGGAAACTGATACTCACTTTCCAGGTTTTCCGCAAAGCTTCCAGCACGGGAGACAATAGGTACGGGGCGTGGGGACTGAGTGTGCTCGGCAGAGAAAGGGTTAATGGCCCTGTGTTACAGTTTGCATCTGTTACATCTTTTATAGCCCCCTGTTTAAACTAATCCTCGAGGCACAGCATCTTCCCAACCTCCACGGAGTTTCGGGATTCTCCTTCTCTCCTGCCTGCCTCCGAGGTCCCCCTTCTCCAAGTTTTGACAGTTTCAGCTGAAAAAATGCAGCGCCTCTCTCGAATTTTAGGTACAAAAGTTTCGAAGCCAGAAAGGATATGATCATTTAGTAGAGCTTAAAAGTATTGCTGTAGCGGTTGGACTTTCTCTTTCCTTTCTTAAGGGGAAAAAAATTTTTTTTTCTGCTGGAACTATTTAAGGGAAGCGGTGTGGGGGACCATGTGTGTGAGTGAAGTGGGGGGAGGAATACTTAAGTAAATATTGTCAAAGTGGTGGAGGTGGTGGGGGGGGAGGGACAAGTGTCCAAAGAGGCTTATAATTATATTTTTTGCTCTGGCGTGAAACGGGAAATCTTAATTTGGGGGCGGGGGTGTGGGGAAGAAGAACCGGTGCCTCGATCAACTCCGAAAGGGGAGGGGAGGGGGCGCGGGGTGAGTGGGCTTCCTATAATGATTATTATCAATTTGCCCGAGTGTGCTTCCTCCGCGGGCTGTTTCTGGTTGTTTGTTTGTTTGTTTGTTTGTTTGTGTCCTCTGGGGAGCGGGGTGGGGGTGAGACAAGATAAGAGCGAAAGAAAGCGTCACCTCACCCCAAGTTCCCGAGCCTAGCTGAGGACTTTTCGGAGGAAAAGGTCCGCCTAGCCCTGAGTCAAGCCGCCTTACTGTACCGCCGTGTGCATTCCCTCATACGGTCAGGAGTTATGACTCATTTTGAAGATGTAATTCTTGTCTCTCTGATCCCCTCGCGGGTGCGACACACCAAACAGTAACAAACACAAAGCGCCTCGGGGCCAAGGCTGGGGTAGGGGGCGGGGAGGGGGCCGCCGAAGTTTCGCTTTGGCCTTGGGGGGCGCGGATGGGCGCTCGCGGGGCCCTGGCCCGGCTCCCCTGGGCGGCCCGCGCGCGTTTCAATGGGCGCGGGCGATGCCCACATTGTCGCTGTGTTTGGTTGCTAGATCGAGCCTGCGTGCTGCCGAAGCAGGGCGCCGAGTCCATGCGAACTGCCATCTGATCCGCTCTTATCAATGAAGCAGCCGATCATGGCGGATGGCCCCCGGTGCAAGAGGCGCAAACAAGCCAATCCCAGGAGGAAAAACGGTAAGAACCGGCCCGAACCAAACTTTTCCGGGCCGCTCCGCGGCTCGAGACCCGGGGAGAAGGGAGGGGAAAGGGAAAAGGGGCCGAGGCGGCGGCTCCCGGGGCTCGCGGGCGAGCCTCCCTCCGCGGCCGGCGCCCGAGCCCCGCGCGCGCGGTGCCCGGACCGGGGGGAGTTGGGGAAGTGCCGGCCAAAGTGAGCGCCGGGCGCCCGCGGGCTCCGAGCGCGGGGGTCCGGACGGGGCCCCGCTCCCCCGGCCCCGCCGCCCCCTAGCGCCCCCGCCGCCGCACTCCCTCCACCTCCGCCTCCCGCTCCGCTCGCTCCTGGCCCGCCGGGTCCGCGCGCGGCCGGGGCTGCGGGAGCGTCCGGCTCGGGCAGGGCGGGGGCCCGGGCGCCCGGCCGTGTGCGGAATCCCGGGGCGGGGGCGAGGGCTGGGGTGGCGGAGGGACGGCGAGGGACAGACTGGGGTCCAGGGGTTGTGCCTCCACGAGGCTGAAAGTTTCTTGCCGGAGTCGCCCGGCTCCCTCTCCGGACGCCAAGTAACGGTCCCGGGCAGCGGGGCCCGGTTGGGCGCGCCCGGACTCGGGGGTGGGAGGGACTCGGCCGGCCCCGCGCGGGGTCCGGCGGGGTCCGGGCGGGCTGGGGGGCGGGTGGCACTTCTCCAGCGGGCGCTGGCCCCTTGCCGGGGGCTGGCGGAGTCGAAGAGCGTAGGGACACTTTTCTGGGCAGTTTTTACGTGGTCAGGAGCCCGCTCTCCAGGCTGAGTCAGGAAGGAGGAAGAAGATGGGGGTGTGAGAGGGACACGCTGATGGGAGATGGGAGATGAAAGCGGTGACAGTCCCCTAAATCCACCTTGGAGAGAGGCAGAGAAGGAGGGGAGAGAGAGAGAGTAGGAGGGAGGGGGAGAGAGAGAGACCCCCTAGGTGTTACCCCCCAACAAAATCGTGGGAATAAAAGAGAAAAGTGATTGGCAAGAGCGCAGAAGGAACCTGGGGGAGGGGAGAGGGATGGGGACCAGAGAGGGTACCGGGGGAGCTGAGGAGGAAACTGAGTTTAAAAAGAAAAACCAGCCCCCAAAACACGCGAACCAGCGCCAGCTCAGCCTGGGAAATGAAAGTTCTCGCTCCCATTGCTGTCCACCGGATCACCCTGCCTGGGACTGCGGTCACTCTCTGGAGCAGGACCCGGGGACCAGGCGCCGGCCGGCCTCGGGCCTCCCGCAAGCCCAGCCGGCTCCTCGCAGGGACCGCTCGGGCCCACTTGAGCAACTTTCCTCTAGAGAAGACCATTGTGCGCGCCCCCAGCTTACCCCTGAGCTACGCGGCGCGGGGAGGGAGCGGCTGGGGGCGCAGTGTGGGGTGCTGGAGGGGAAAAAAACACAAAGACAGAGAATTTTGATTAGAGACAAATGAGGCTTCACCTTGTCTCTCTGTTCCTCTCTCTCTCCCTCCCTCTCTCTCTCTCTCTCTCTAGGTTTTGTGTGTGTGTGTGTGTGTGTGTGTGTGTGTGTGTGTGTGTGTGTCATTTGCTTGTTGTGGTGGAGGTGTTGAGCCATATGGGGGAGTGATAGAGGAATTTAGTCAGAAACTCTTCGTTACGTTATCCTGCCTTTTCCCTTTGTGCTGCCTTTGATCTATTTGCTTGGCTTAGTGTTACAAAAAACAAGTACAATAATATATTCCGCGCTGCTTCCCCAAGATCCAGTTCAGGCTGCGTCTTTTTAAGTCTCTCTCTCTCTCTCTCTCTCTCCCTCCACCCCCTCTCTCTCAATTTAATTTTTTCTTCACTCAAGTGTCTGGCATTATTTAAGCTGGTCCTTAAACAGGAGCCCTCCCCTTACCCATCACCGGGTAATTTAGTAGACACTAAAATTACACCTAGTGTCCCCTCTTCTCTCTTGTGTTTCCTCTGGACCTTTTATTAAATGTTGGTTATTGATTTTCTAAAATCAATGTCTGTTGTGAGCCCCCCCCCACAAGTATCTAAAGCACGTTGCTGATCAACTGGATAACAAAAGCTTTGTGTCAAGGAGGCTTATTTCTCCTTATGTTAAACAGTCATTTTTTTTTCCGAGAAATGAGAATGAGATTTAAAGCAAGTTTCCCCAAAGTGTTTGTTGTTGTTGTTGTTTTTGCAAAAGAGACTATTTAAAATGTTTGTTTGTTCTTGCTCTCTTCCTTCCACCCCCTTCGGGATGTTGCCACCATTGACCAGCCTGGCCCCAGCAGTGAGGTCAGGCCAGAGCCCAGGTCTGGGGAAATTCAGGGCTCCAGGCTTCCTGGGAACCTTTCAAGAGGAGGGGGTGTCTCTCAGAGAGGGAGGCCTGCTGGGGACGTCACAGGTGGAGGGGAGTACCAGGCAAGCGGCTCACCCATGGATTATGCAGCCGTTTCCCCTGTGTCCAGCCACTAACCTGGGGGAAACCTCAACGCTCCGAAAGAGAAAGTTGAATTGCACATTTCAAGGCATTTAGCCCAGCCTCTGCACACTTACCAGCAGGCCTGTCCATCTCTTAACAGCTTCTCAAAGTTTGACTATTATCTGCCTCTTTTTCCAAATAATCTTCAGCAAAACATGCTGTGAATTGGTTACTTGTCAGTGTTTTTATTTGGATTTAATCTGACTGAGCAATGTCCTGGTTTTGAAAAGCAGGTAGAAGAGTTTTCCCCCCTTTTTTTCCATTTTCTTTCTCATCAAGCATGTATCCAATGCCTTTCCCTTTGGGAATTGCCTGGATTTATCTGAACTGAGTGGATTTTTCTTCTTTCCTGGATTCATGGAAAAGATGTCACTTTTGAGCTTGTGTCTTTGCTGATAACACTAAATATGATGATGCTTATCAAAATCATATAGAAATTCCTGGAAAGAAATAATGGCAATACTAATCGTAGAAGCAGAAGCTGCAAGGAAAAAAGAGGGAAAAAAGATGGTCATCCAGGAAACCAAAATGGCACTTTATATAATTTTAATGAAGTCAACAGTGTATATATAGACTAAGGTG